TGGCGGTAAGAGATTTGCGGACAATGAAGAAGTAATCGAAGCTGTAAATGGTTATTTTGAGGAGCTTGACGAATCAGTCTATAGAGATGGCATTAATAGACTGGAACACCGCTATGAGAAATGTATCAGCCTTGGAGGAGATTATGTTGAGAAATAAAAAAAAAAAATTTTTAAAAACCTTGTTTTTCTTGGTCAGGCCGGAAACTTATCAATCCACCCTCGTAAAATAGAAAAATCAGTAAGTACGTGTGAACGTTTATGTTTGTGTGAACATAGATTTCATCGTCCGTTTTGAGTTGTTTTAAACCTAAAAAAAAGAAAATCTTGCATACGGAAGTCGTAGTAATAAGAATGAATTCTTGGAAGAACCAGAAAGTAACTTGACCCTTTTTCTTCTGAGTGAGTGCCCTCTTCAAGCACGACTTTGATATAAGTGCACTTTACCTAGGAGATATGCATATGCACACCTGCCACGCATATTTTATTACACAAATAGAGTTCATCGCACACGTAGCAACTGAAGCGGCATAGGGAACATAGGCTACCGTAGAAATTTTACGAGCCAAACAATAAAAGTTTACAAAAGACATCTAAAAGTGACGTCTAACAATATCACATAAAACATGCAGTTTTAACTCAAAAAAAAAAACAACAATCAATCAAAGATATTACCATTTATCCTCAAATTAATGAAGAAAAGTAATTGTAGTTGTCACACCCTCGCCGGGAATCGAACCCGCGACCTTTGGCTTCACGCAGCAATGCTCTACAACTAAGCTACGAGAGGTGACAGCAGCAACCACGACTAAACGTACTTATTACGTCACAGATATTAAAAAAAAATTATTAAAAACGGATAAAATTTTTCATATTAATATTAAATATTAACCACACACTAGGAATATTTTCAGAAACAAAGTGTATTATAACGAGAAAATCAATTTACTCCTAAGTACCTATAAGGAATTGATCATTATCTTTTTGTTATTAATTTACTTCTCATTATAATATAAACCAAAGTCACAAATATGGCTCAAGTACATTAAAAGGTCAAAGTCAATCACCGGGGCCATCTGCCATTTAATTACAGTATTATTCTCCACTATAGAACTACTTAAAGAAAATAATAATAAATAATAGACTGTATCTAGATCTATAATGATAATCCCACACAATACAACTTTATATTAAGTATGTACGTATATTAAAATAAGATAACTAATCTGAACTTTAATTGTAACTACAATTAAATTAATATAATTCTAATTGTCCACTGCTCTTTCTAAAGACTTTTAATGACGCTTAATAACTATCATTGCAGTTGCCTAAAATTAATAACGCGATTAAGGGTGAATTACAAAAAGAAAGTTCTATTACTTTAATAAGTAAAACTGCAAGCCAATAACCATTTCCAATTAACCAATCATTACTTCTGTCGTGTTAAAATGTCTTGCAATTTTGTTTTTAGTACTTAGTTACGTAAAACTTAATCCAAAAACGGAAATATGTATTGCAATTTTACTTTCGTGGTTTCGCTAAAAATACTCCCGAAAAATCTGACCACAAACGCAATTATTTTCGAGTTTTTATTATTTGCACATTACAATTTCTTTTAATAATGGTTCAATATTTTTTTATTTGAAGTAGCTATTCGCCTTTCCCTTTCAAGCACACTACAAAATGTACAACACGACGTAATGTACCATATAAACGGCTGACTACCTGCGAAGGGTCTGCTAATTGCTCGAAGATATTTTTGAAAATGACAAAACGTACCACTTATTTACTTACCAATACATATTTTTTTTAAATAAACAGTCTTCATAACAGAATCTGTTTCTTATCACAATTTATTCCGGCTTTAAACTGACAAAATAACTTGTTTAGCTTGTTCAAAATATGATGTTTTTGTGAACTATAATAACAGCAATGTAGGTGCATTCGTTACTTTTAATTTGTCTGATTTTTCTACACTATATTTTTCATTATTAACTGGTACGTTATGTAGTCGACACATTATTAATTTAATGACTTTTTCCAGGTATACGTAGTACAGATATTTCGTCGTGAAAAATCAAGTTGTACTTTTTGTCGCTGGTACGGTTCTTGGCATTCGTAATTTTTACTGTTTAAACTCTAATAACGTCTTAACTATTCCATTCAATGTAAAATATTTATTTTTCTACGTAAGTAGGTTCATTATTTAATTACAAACGATCACCAGTAACTCAATGAAAAAAAAAACAATAATAAAAACGGTTCAGTGTCTAGTTAATTTTCTAATGTTTTTGTAATGTATGTATAAATTACAATTCCATTAACATTTGAATACTGTCAAGTAAATAAATAAATAAACATAAGTACCTACGTAACTGTGATTAGGTATCGCAAAATAAATATCTAAATTATAATTTTACCCCCAATATTTAAAGAGTAAAAATAAGTGGAATTTGTCATCTCCCCCATCATCCTCTAGAATGTGAACACACAACTGCGTATTCAGTCGAGGTATTTCATTATTTAATTAAATGCTAACTTTTATTTACCAGAGACATTTACAATGCAAATAAAAACAGCTAANTCACTTATACAAGTGTATTGGTCTTAGTGACATCTCATTTGTGGGTCAATTTCGAATTTTGTTTAAATAAAAATTTTCTGTTTTTAAAAACGGATTTTTACTTTAAACAAAAATAACTCCCGTTTCTACATTTAATGCTCAATAGAATCTTGGAATATTTTTAATGCAAATTCAATGAATTAATTAAAATCAGGAATAAATAATCTATCAAAATAAATTTACGTATAGATAAACGAATTAATTTAGGTTATGTACAACCGAATAGTACCGAAAAAAACCAATAAGTACCTACAAGTACAAAAAATTATTCTCATTGCATTGGCGAAGGAGCCAGATTAAAAAATATTTCACAATATTTGTCAAATTGCACGTAAAGTACAATTACCTAGTACGATAAACGCTCAACGGTATTTATGATTGCTCATGAGGTGTCGCTTGGTACCATGGTACCAAGGCCTGAAATTTGTAATTAACTAAATTAATATTCCTTGTCATATTATAGGCAAATCTTAAAACCTCTTTCAGTAACTGTTAGCATTTAAACAATAAACATTGCGCATATCAGTTCATTTTTGACCTTTAAAATATTTATTAATTAATTTATAATTATGAACTTCGGCTTATAATAATCACTACCTTTAGGTACCTAGATGTAAAATGCACTACAGGTAGGTACCTATCATTCAATAGGACGACCATCGAGGGTAACATAAGGTATGAAGGTGCACCACCACCCACGTAAACATATTGCACGTTTTACTGCTTCTGGTCGAATACCTATTCGCCCAAACTTACGAAATTGCTAATGTTAACAATAAAGAATGTACAAATATTACCCACAATTTACATACAAATGTATAATAATAAACAAATGTAAAATGTGCTAATTAATGATATTTAAATGGGAACGCGTTGCGATATCCGCAATTGCAAATCATAAATAAAACATGACAAACAATTTGCAATGCAAGTAAAACCCCAAACCATATAGGTACCTACAAATGTAAGTAAGTATACGGAATTAGCGAATTAATTCTAGTAGCTACGAAACAATCAAGAATTTTCTGGCATGACTGGTTACCTGCTAATCCTCGAGTGTCCGCTAACGCATAAAAAATCCAACAACTGCAAAACAGTAAGAAGGCCCTTAACGAGAAGGGGTTACCTTCGAGTAAACTCATGTCACCAACAAGCACAATTACAACCTCATCTATCGATCACAACAATTAATACATCTTGTACATTCCGTATAAAAAGGAAAAACCGAACTAAACACTTAACAGTAAAAATGTGGTGTTTATTAACAGGTTGCTGCCACGCACACCGATCGACAATTAATATGTTTTTATTCCAGCCGACACACGTTGAGGTAGAAGTAGGTGCTTCTGTACTACACCTTTAATACATAGGTACTATTCGGAATGGGGAAAAGCAAGATGAAACTTTCGCGTTTGAGAAGTTCCGAAAACTTTTCTTAGAAGTTTTCCATTCGATGAATAAAATGTCCGCGCAGCACTGACCGACTTTCCGCTGACACGACCGCTTACGAACTGAACTTTTATTATGCGAGAATAGTAGTGGTGGTAGTAGTGTAATGGTCGTGCCTGCCGCACACTGCAAAGCATTCGCTGTCCCTTATCCTGCATGCGCCTGATGATGATTCTCTCTCTTCGTCCACCTTATACTTTACCTGCCTTATTACTCAGGTGTTTGCTACATCTAATCAACACTCAAACAGGTTCATAACATTTCGAAAAGCAAGCAACTTCTTCCTGTGCAGTAAATACATCGTAGTCGTCAACGGGGCCGACTCCGATCGCTTGCAAAGAGTGAATTGTTGTACCGACTCTCTTCTCATTTTTTTTTTGAATAAGACAGACCAAGTTCGAAGGCGCTTGGCCTTGAAAACAATATTTCTTATGATTATCATTATAAAAATAGTGCCTACCAGGCGCAAAAATGTCTCTTCAAAAACTTGTTATTTGGCAACAAAAAATTTATCTATCGAATTATTATTTGCTTATAAATATATTTTGAATAATAATTATGAAATAAAAAGCTTAAATTTNACTAACGCTCATAACTCTTGAGACTTTTGAATCTTACAATAAAGTTAACCTCTGAAACCTTGCTATACCGAGTGTTCCCATAATTTAAAAGTTTTTTGACTTAATGAATATTGTTAATAAAATATTTTACAAAATTCCAACCAACTAAGTACCTACTAGATACAGCAGTAGGAAAACAAAGTAGTTTTATAAAATAATAAATACAAAGTTAAAAGACAATTTTCCTTCTAATTTATATTATTTATTGATTATTAGGTATATGTGAACATCAGTATGGCCGAACTGTTACAATTTTTGTCGCTTTTTGATAACCAGGGATGTGATTTATTTGAAATACTTGTATTTAAAATGGAAATACAACAAAGCATTTTGTATTTTATTTAAAATACTTTTCGAAACATATTATCTATTCGTAAAATGCAAAATACGTTTTTGCCGTTAAAAGGTTTGCTAGTATCACCGATCAAACATTACATAAAATGATGAATGAAAGTTGCTCATATTGGCCTTCCAAGGTATTAGAAGTTTAAAAAGGTGACAAAGAAACATTCCATAAATACCTTCTAATTCTTTAACTGAAGAGAGCCCAAAAAATTCTAAACTTCATAGAAATTGATAGTCTATACTCTATAATATTGGATCGACATTCTTTTCCGAGCTCAACGTCATGGTCCATGGAATTTTGAAGTTCAAATTTATATCAGCACCACTTATTGTACCCTTAACAAGGAACTAGGAAATTCTATGAATTATGACAAAACAGCCCCCAAAACAATATCGAATTGATATACGCCAACAGTGTAAAACAGAAAACTACAAGATGTTGTGGTGCGTATAATCCAAAATTTTCAGAAAACGATTCGAAAAAATTCACTTATTAGATGAACCCAAAACTAAAGAAACTATGGATTCCATTTCTTTCTATTATTATAATGTGTAAAAGATCGGAAACAAAATGGTGTTGATTTGAAATATTTTGTTATGAAATGATTGATGTTGATTTTACATCAATAAAATTACTTCCAACTCTATATTGGCTCAGATCTTTTACGGTAAACAAACTATTTTGGCATCAGTGTTTTCTTTCCAATTAAAACGGGTGACAAAGCTAAATAAGGAAACATATAGAAGAATTATTTGTTGCTGAACTAAAGAAACTATAACATAAAGATAGAAAAACTATATCTCAATCACTCCAAACAGAAGAATATGAATCATACTTAATCTTCGCATGTGGTGATATCGTGCACACCACTATTAGTCTACAAAAACTACTTTAAAAAATTAGCAACACTTGCAAGGCTTTTTAAAAAAATATTTTATACTTAAGTAAATGTAGAAAATAAATAGGTACTACAAAAAAGTATTTATTTAAGAAAAGTATTTTGAAAATACGTATTTTACATTTAGCATTTAAAATACAAAAAGGAAATCTATTTTGTATTTTACATTTGAAATAACAAATCAAAAAAATATTTACATTTTGTATTTAAATACATTTAAGAAAACCATTTTGCACATCTCTGTTAGTAACTTATTAATATGATTTTGTCACCTTGCAAACATTTAGTGTTTAAAAAAATAGCAGACTCGAGTTATATATTGCGATTTAATTTAATACAAAGAAACTATTTTACAACTTATGCACTGCGTTGCATTTTGAATATGTCAGCAAGACATGATATTATAAATACTCGTGTCAAAAATTGTTACTTCACTTATACAAGTGTATTGGTCTTAGTGACATCTCATTTGTGGGTCAATTTCAAATTTTGTTTAAATAAAGTTTTTCTGTTTTTAAAAACGGATTCTTACTTTAAACAAAAATAACTGGCGCTGCGAACAGGATCGGTAACGGCGTTTTTATCGTGAAATAGTGCTGAAAACGTCGCGAAAGTTCAGTTTCGAGTTTTACCGATTCGAAATCCCTGTGGAAGAAATTCCATCTTCAGGAGACTTTCAGTGGAAAGGAACATCTTCAAGGAACCTCCGGTGGAAAGGAAATGCATCGTGCCATCACCTTTCTCTACCTAAGCTTGTGAGTACCTTTTGATTATTCCTTTATTTTTTTCTTGTATGCAACCAAACTGTTAATGTCTCTCTCCGAATCTGATTCCGACATCGAGAACAGTATTCGACGTCCAAGTTTTTCTTCGCCCAAAACCCAAGTCAAACTCAAACCCCCAATTTTAAATCTTTCAAGCAAAATGACCCAGTCAAACCCTGCGTCTTTCGCTTTCACGTTTGCTGACGCACAACGTCAAATATGTACGGTCCCCGAATTTTCTGGTGAACCCTACGAACTCTCAAATTTTATAAACAAGGCAGAACATTATTGTTCTATTCATGGCGATAACGTTCCATCTACCAAAAATGTAGCATTACTTGATTTAATTGTGACTCGTATTACTGGCAAAGCCGCTCGATACATTAGTACGAAAATTGTCAACAACTGGGACTCTTTGAAGAAACTTTTGTTAGAAAAATATGGTGACCCCCG